GCCACTGAGTCAAGAGTGTCTCAGCTCCAGTCTCCTTCCTCTCTGCTCATCAAGGATTATTGTGAAATTTTTACTGAAAATTATATTAAATATTTGTTTCAATATGATGTAGTTCTACATCTTGTTAGAAGCAGCCTATTTTGTTCTCACCTATGCAATATGAAATCAGTGTTGCCAACCTGTGTCTCACAAGCTGTATATTTTACTTTTGCCCATCTTTTGTTCCCAGGTACAAACAAGACTTCAGGCATTCATTTCCAGCCTGCAACAAAAAACAAGTGAGATTGAGATTTTGGCAGTAAGTATTTGGCAGAAGCCTGAACTAATTCTGAATCCTTAATTGCAGTGGATGATGCTGAGCAAACCACTGCTAATTGCCTCACTTTAGTGATAACCAAATGAGTCAAACTTCAGGTTAAGTAAGACCCCTGGTCTGTTTCACTGATACTTGAAAATTGTCTCAAATTGTGTGTATGGGTGGATGGCTGCATGGAATAAAATATCACAAGCATTTAGTTGTAAGCTCTTAAGCTGTAATTACACCAACTATTGTGGTAGATGTAATAACTTGTTCCTGCTAGATTTGCACTTCCATTTAAGCAAACGTGGCTCTTGTTTGTATGTGGCTTTTAGACTTCACTGACCATGTCACAAAGACTTTGAAATGGTATATGCTTCTCAGGAAACATAACTGCCTGCACCTATGTGCAACTTTCCATAATGGAATCTGTCAGGAATGGTTAAAAAGGTTTTAATCATTTTAAAATAAGTTCCCCATTTTAGCAGCATGAATGCTTCTCTGGAAATCAAAAGATCTGGCTCCCTTCGGTATAGCTCATCTCTAGTTGGCAAACTGATAAGAGAGAACGGTTAAGTATTGATTTCTTGATATTTTTACAGGTTGATCTGCCAAAAGCAACTGTGATACACTTCTTATCATTAGAGGTAAGCAATTAAGTAATGTTGTTAGAACTCTTAACTGAACACAATAGATGATAAATTCTGTTCCCAATGAAGTGAAGTGTAAAATTCACCCATTCTAGATTTTTCCTTCAAGTTTGAATTAGGTTTAAAACATAAACCTAATTATTGAATTAGGTTTTAAAAAGCATTTTTTTACCTAGGAAGCTTGACCAAGAAACTTTTTGTGAAATGTTCAAGTTACACAAGACAACATTAGAAAGTCCTAATCCAAAGCTCTGAGGTTTTTTCCCCCAAGAATAGTTATCTAAAATTAAATCTTAACTGCTCTTTTTCAGAAACCAATAAGCATTAATAGCAGTTTCAACAAAGGTGTTCCTTGAAGCCCTTAATGAAGGAGAACCCAAAATACAAAAGCAATTGTTTCAAGTACAGTAGCTGAAACATCCCTTAGTAAAGCCAAGACATAAAAGGGTTTTTATTATATTGACACCTTTAGCAACTCAGGAGCTGGTCAATGGTGCATGAAAGATGACAACACCTAAGACAAAGCTTTCTTCTTTTCTCCAATGACAACACTAGCTTGAGAGGGATGGATGCCTCTCCACCCTCTAAAAACCCAGACTCAAGAATGGCATCCTACTGGAAGTGCATTTATTACTTTCATACCTTTTATCTGATGCTCTGAAGCAGTGCTGGTCTGGTTACCAAAACCCAGTGAAACATTTCAAAACATTTTCAAAATACTTTGTTGATCCAGTCTGTATGAATCATGGAGGTAGTTTATCACCTTTTACTAAAAAAAAAAAATTAAATAAATATGCACATGATCAGCTTACATCATTCACTTTTCATCACCATTACATCACAGTTACTGTATTCTCTCCAGCACTGCCAAGCTGACACAGCCCTTTTCATTGCTTGTGCTGAAATGTGTTAAGAAAGTGATCACTAAATTAATTTTTTTAGGAATTAAGTTGCACATGTTGTTGACATTTATCATGTTTGAAAGCTGTTTAATTAGAGCATTGACATTGCACAGTATTCAGAAGGCTGCATCCTACTAGAAGTATTTCCTTCACAAGAGTATGGGACTAGCATAGTTCCTTGTCAATTTTTTTCCTTAGCTTGATGGAGATAGACAAGCCTTTGATGCTACTGTGAGACAATTGATGTCACGATGGCCCAAGCAGAGATCTTCATATTTACAAGCAATTTGTGATGAAATTTACAGTCTCAAAATGGAAAAGAGGTAAATTTGTTAAAACTCTTATGGGTACATAAACTAGATTTTTTCCATTTTTTTCTATATTCAAACTAGAAGATAAGCTGCTCCTAACTTGTCTTTCACTTTCCCCTCTCTCTGAGACAAAAAGAAACACTCAGGAAATGTGCATAGTTCCTTCAAAAGTATAGGACTGGTCACTAACCCTCACTTACTAAAATGTAAATTCTTCATTTTTCTAAGTCTTTTCCAGAAGCTCTAGGATATATTGCCACTTTTATCTCACTTGCTTTGTTAATAGAAATGGATAGCAGACAATTACGCAGTCAGATATCCTGCTATATATAGTACATATATTTCTATGTATGTAAATATAGATGTATGTATAATATATACATCTATACTGCTACATAAAAGCCCTCTTTTCTGATGAGAGAGACTCAGCTTGTCCTCTGAAACTCATGAATACATTTAACTCCTCCTGCTTTGAAATAATACCATGGCAGTCAGGTACAGGTGGGAGAGTGCCCAGTTTCATGCAAACATAAAGTATGCTCTCCCAACATGTACAGTAAAGCCCATTTCTGATTTGTAAGCATAAAAACATTTACGTTCACCTCATAGTCTGCCTGTTGGACTCTGGCAAGGCTGATACAGATAGTCTGGACACATCCACTATGTCCAGTTTTAAATCTCAAATTGTTAAATGTTGCATGTACTGGTCTACTTGAGACCTCGGTACTTACGCCTTTGTTCCACTTGAAAGTGCTATTTAACCTTTCAATAAGACTAAAGCTGGTTCCCTTTTCTCAAATGCACCAAAATTGCTCCAGGTTTGCTGTTTAGTAAGACAGCTACGTTATCAAGTGAAGCATTTCTTTTCCTCATGGGACGTCCAAGGCTGTGAGCAACAGAACCCAAATACTCCTCCATGCAATGCTGGGTATGGATGTAATGCACTCCCTCACTATCTTCCTATCCCATCTGGGGCCTGAGCACTACTTAGCCCTAAGCCTTCAGATCACTGGAGTGAAAACTGAACAGGCAAGATCAGTGGAAAGAGCATGAGGGGAAAATTGCTGTCACAGCCATACAAAGTAAAACTTACTGATTTTCTGCTAGATCTTTGTGCTGTCTTATTCTGAGGATTTGTCATAGGAATTGCAGCATTCAAACCTGCAGTTTCAAAATACTAAAATTCTTTTTTCCTTCCCTCTGCAGGGTTTCTGCACTTATCCTGTACAGTTACCGAGATGAATACAAGGTTTTGTTTTAGTATTTAAAGCATCATTTATGGATGCTTCTACAATTGGACAACACCGTTTTGTCAAATGGAATTTCAAAAAGCTGCAGTAATGCAAGACAGGCAACTAGGGCCTATTTCTGTGTCCAGATTGCATTTCCTGTATACTATTGGCCTGGTTCTGGCCAGGACAAGGTTAATATTTGCTGTAGCTAGGAGGCATGGCCAGAACCCAGAGGCTGATCTGTACCACCTCACACCATTCCAGGTGGGCACAGCATGGCAGAGGGAGCACTTGGGCTGGGTTGTTTCTGCGGACTCGTTCACCCTTCCTGTACTCTGTGCCACTGGTATTGTTGCTGTTAGTGTTTTCTTATCTCATTGCTGTTTCCAGTATATTCTTACCTCAGCCTGTGCTCTTTACCTTCTGTGCTTCCCAATTCTCCTCTCCAGCCACCCGCAGGGGGAGGGGGTAGTGGGTGGCACATGCATTCAACTGGAGCACTAAACTAGAGAATGACATTCCTAAACCACAACAAATACAAAACTAAATGCTTTCAAAATGTGGAATTACTTGTTTTGTACGCAATTAAGGAGCAAGTATTGACTAGAGCCACAGATAGGTATTGCCATGTAGTTCTTGCCTCTTATGCTACACAAATCAGCTGTACAGATGTAAAACTACTTTTTGTAAAAATTGTTTCAGAATGCCTTTTATGGAACAATAGTACTGCAACAAGAAACATCCATTTTAGAATTATAAATGAAAATTGTTTTAAACATTTTTGAGGAATTTTTATGTAATAAAAACTGCTGAGCCTTATTGAAATACTCATTATAAGCCTTTTGTGTGTTGATTTTAGTTGTGTTTTTTAACCTACTATGTCAATTTATGTATAAAACATGGTAGATCTCAGGCTGAGTTGTTACAAGCCTGGCTGCCTTTGCTTGTCCTGTCTGTACTTCTGCATTTAAATCAAGAAGCAGCTTCTGCGATATGAAGACCTGATAAAACAAAACACTTGTTCTAGACCTGCAGAACCTAAACCAAAGACTTAAAAGATAAAAAGTAACCTGCATGTGCTTGAGGCACAACCAGTTTTGAACTAACTTTCTTTACCTGAGTTGTCAGATTAAGTCTGAAGTTATAGTAACGATGGAAGTATTATAATTATCTTCTTGAAGCTAAATTGTAGCACAACCCCACCAGGAAGAATGAAGCTGAGAAACTATGATTTACAGGAGTCATGGTTAACTATGTACTGTATTTCACATCAAACACTGGAGGAAAGTACAGAAATGTTAAGGATTTCTGGAAGTACACTGGTGTTTTCCTTCCCTCCTCACTTGGTACCTTTTGTTTAAACTTACACTTCAGTCTCTAACACAAATGATTGCCATTTGCAGACTCATTACATTAATAAATACCTACCTACTTTTTCTACCCTTTCTTGTAGCAAAGGTGACAAAGTTAAAATGCATAGGAGTAACTTGCAAGACAAACCACAAAACTGGGAACTGTGAAGGTTCTAACAGCAATGTCCAAAGCAGCAGACAATCCTAGACACAGATAACTGTGCCATTCCTAGCAATTCACCATGACAAGTCACATCAGCCATTGCACGCAATCCATTTCTCATTATCTTTAATAGGAGCAATTACATCTTTACTTTTTACATCTGTTTATATGAAAGAAGGAAAATTCAGATCCCTGAATATACTGAAGGATGATGTTTTTAAAAAAAAAGTTTAGGTGATGACCATTTTTAAGCTATGTCTGAGGGGAGCACGATGCAGAGTCCCACCCTCCCGCCACCCCGAGCCCAGGTGAGAGCAGCTGGAGCACCATGGAGTGAAAGCTCTGCAGGAACTCGAGCACTGCTGGCTGCCTTGGGGACAGCTGCACTGCATCATGTAGACATGGCCCTTAAGACAGAAACAGGGAAGCAGCTGTTCCTGATAATATGTTGGCACCTGCTTTCCCTAGAATTACTGAGGCTCATCTATAAAACTGGGCATCTGTCACTGAGGCTCCTGCTCCAGTCTTGTTTTGCTTTTGGAAAGGTGCATTTCTCTTCACCCTGTGCTACCCCCCAGACAGGTTTTACACTGCAGAGAACACAGCAGTAGTGTAAGTACAAACCAGCTGAGTGTAAAGCTACTCCAGTAGAATGCTGTACATCCTCCTGCCATACAACAACCCAAAGAAAGCGCCTCTGCTCTCAGTTTAAACAAAAGTACTGATCGTATCCCAGTTTCCTGCTGGAAGGAAAGCCAAAGACAAGTGGTAACTCAAAAAGAAATGGACTTTGCTTTGAGCAAGGGTCAAGTCTATAATAGCGATGGCAGCACACTGTCCCATCACTGTGTTGCTTTGCTCTTCTTGGCCTTGCTTTTCTTGTCTTTCTTCTTCAAGCCATCCATGTTAGCTCTTAGCAAATTTGAATATGCCTGAAAAAACAATTAGAACCATTTAAAAGAACCCCAAATACTTAAATGACAATATGCAAGATAACATTTTATGTATTACAAATGGCCAATTATCTGCCTTTTCCCAGAGAATCATGCTCTTACACCCTGCACTAGGAAAATACTGTTGTTTAAACCAATATACAAGGTTGGATAAAATAAAACAAAACAGGATTTTTTAAAAACAGATTAAGATAAATGGGTAGTCTCAGTTAGTTTCTGTGGCAGTTCAGCAAGAAATCAACCTGTTCACAGCTGCCCACTGCTTCCAACAGACCACTTCTACTACTTACAGAAAAGAAAGATGAAAGGCATACAAAACTTACCATCTGGAATTTATTTACTTCCTTTGAGCTCACCTACAAAAGTAATACTGGAGGTTAACTACAAAAACTCTGGCTGCTATTACAGACCAAGTATCAGTACATGTTTACCCACCAGTTACCATCTGGTCTTTTTAGCAGCAGTTGGATCAACTTATAACATTCAGTGGTCAATGTGCTGTACTGGTATGTCATAGGACTCCACTGATTTAGAAAACTGAAAACACTCCATGATTAATAAAACCCTCTAGAGGCCATTCATCCCTAAGTCACATGTTTTCACATGGGAAAAATGTGAAAAAGCATTCAAAGAAAGGTTTGATTCACTTGTGGGGCCATAAAAATGCTGCCGCTCATGTTCTCAGCTGTTTCTCTTAAGTAACGTTTCTCTTTGTGTCATATCACAGAACAGACCTAAAGTCAGCTAAAGCCTTTCCCAATCCCCCATTCAAAGTAAACACACATCAGGTTTTCAACTACCAGTTAACATTTTCTCAAGTTTCTCTTAAAATATGGAGCATTAAATCAAAGACACACAGAGCCACTAGCTTTTCTAACTTAAAAGTTATCACTTACCACTGTGCTGATTTTCTTCTTTCCATCAGTTGCTCTCAGGAGACATTTATTGTCTGCTGGTTCAGAAGTTTCTACATGGCCTTTGCGTGGAACTGGTTTTGTTCGACCATCATCTGCATTGAAAAAGAATTTTTATTCTTATTTCATTAAAATCAACATATGCCTTCTGATATGAGGTGTTAAAAACTGCTCGTGAGCAGATCTGTAGAACACCTTGGAAATTTCAGGCCAACTGAACTAATACTGCTACCAAATTGCTCTTACTCTAGAACCCCAGAAAGATCTGTTCTGTAAATTACATCTACCAGAAAAAATGAAGTAAATCCTCTCCTCAACGTGCTATGTGCCCTGTCTGCTCGCAGCAGCATGCTTTAAATGCATGTCACCCTGCTGGCTCTTGACACGGCCTCTCCAGTAGTGCCAGCCAGCAGGAACCAGAGGAGCAGGAACACACAAAAACAGTATCAGAATTCTCCTTTTACAGAAAACAAACGATTTTAACTTACTGTTTAACAATCAGAAAGTCCTAGTTTGAATGCCCTGCAGTTTGGAATACAGTCTCACTCAAAGGTTATTAGTACTGATGCTACTAATACTATTAGTCCCACAGCTAACAGTTGTAGGATTAATAGATTTAAATAGCGCTAATCAGTGCTCCTGCTGACGGGTTTGTTCCTATGACTGCTCTTGTCTTCAGATACCCTGGATTACAGCTCTTATCGCTTAAAATACCTGGTGACAGCAGTCAGATTTATATTAACACCTCTTTAGCCCAACCCAGTAACAGACTCAACACTTACATTTCTTCAGGGTTATGAAAACGCTCCCGGAAGTCCTGCACTTTTGGAAGAGCCGGGTAAGCTCCGTCAGGAACTGCAAGAGAAAGAGTCGCGCCCGTGGCTGGGAGCCCCCACACGAGCTCCGAGCTCCTGCCCCTCTCCTGCCCTCCGAGCTCCGGCCGGGCCCGG